ATGCTATTTGCCAAAATACCTCCAAGAGCAAATGAAAATCGACGAGCATCAAGCCATGAACCACTTGTTGATTGATAGATAGAATGAAGGGATCCAGACATTGATAATCCCCCATTCGAGCGAAACAATCCAATGTTAAGTCATTGTGCGTTATTAAATAATGACTGAAGAGTGGTACATTGTGGTATATGTAGTAATCACAAGTCATTGATAATTGTTTACCAATATGATTAGTTTTTATTTTAATCAATGATTATGGAAAACAAATTATAGCACCTTATTTTATGGAATCATCATACGCGGCTCATGTTGGGAATTTTCAATATTACTAATTTGGAACCTAGGAGGTTACGGCGGCGATGCAATCAAAATTGGACTGTTGAGAAGAGCACCACTGGTCTATTCGGGAAATATTTTTTTAAATTTTTTTCCTCTTTCTTTTTTATAATTTTTAAAATTTTTGACAGAAAACAATATTTTATTCCTTTTTAAATGGACGAAATTTTTAATGAATGCGCAATTCAATGACATTATTGGTAGGCCCCATTCTAACATAAGTGGTATAGCTACTACTCCAATTCTCATATTTTAGTAGTACCCTAGATATTTTACCCTCAAAAGTCAAAAGAGTCAATAAAACATTTTTATTGCCTAAGAGTAATTTAGATAGTTAATAGAAATTTTGCAGTTGATAGGAGGTTAAGGGTAATAGGTATTTTCACTTTCTATTAGCATCAGTAGCTTTTTCGGCCAGAACCGATGGCATAAAGGTGAGGCAGTTTACAAACTTCTTAATCGTCTGATAGAACAACATCAAAATTGGCTCATTCGAAGGGCGATTGATATTGCTCACATCGAATCCAGTATTATATTCGATAGCCATATCAGCAACATAATATTTTAAGATTATTAGAAATCAAAGAAAGAAATATTAGGGTAATCAATCTGGATGAGCCGCAAACTAGGGCACTCTCTTCAAAACTTTGTGCATTGCATCGTATGCCACACAAAAATTATCAGTCAGTCACCTCGAGAATAAAATAGTTATTCGCACTTTCTCTTGTTTGTATGAAATGACTCTTGTATGTGTCTTTGCTCTGTAAATTGTGAGATCTCTAAAGAACACTCTTCTATATGCTTCTGCTAGGGGTGGGATTCGGTCGGTAAACGGTAAATTGTTTACCGAATTTACCGGTTTCGGTATACCGAAGTTGGTCAAATTGGTTACTGATTACCCAAACCGGTTTGTAACCGGTTTACCGATTACCGAATTACCGGTAAACAGTTACAAACCGGTATTACCGAAATACCGTGGGAAGCGATTTCGGGCGGTTTTTCGGTCGGTTTACCGAATATTTACCGAACCGAATTTCTGGAAGTGGGGTGATGTTGTAATATTTTGATTTTTTTGAGTTTTTTTCATCATTTTTGTAATTAATAATTTATTATTAACTCTTATTTACAATATTTTTGAGGCCTATACTTACTTACATTCATGTATGTAATATTTTATATTTGTGAATAATGATGTATATGTTATATGTTAGTGGAGTAGGGAGGGAGATTTCGGTATCGGTATTACCGATTTACCTTCGGTATTTACCGATACCATGTCCGGTAAACCGACTCCCCCAACTTCCCGCTCGGCTGCCGATACCGCCGGTAAATAGTCGGTTTACCGTTTACCGCCGGTTACCGGATCGGTAAAACGGTAAACCGTTTACCGGATTACCATTTACCACTCCTAGTTTCTGCTCTCTATGAAGATAATTATTCACAAAATCAAAACGCGAACGTATGACAATTCTTTCGTCCGAGTTATCATGCTTCGTAATTTTCATGTATGATCATATATTGAATGATTAAGACGAAATATCTCCAAAAAATTATGGCCTCAATTCTTCTGACCCAACTCACCCATTCACCCAACTCGAAGAACAATGAAATTCTAGATAGTAAATCCTCTTTAATTTCTTCCACAAAAATGAATAACCCTATTGTGGTATTTGAGAATTCACTTATGGCTTTCAAAACCTATTCATTTCCAAATTCCAACAATCTGCTAAGTGCTAAGTGTTAACTCACTAAACATGATAACTCATACGACCATGTCTCCTAGAGCTCGCAGCCTCGCACAACCAGTGGAGGTAGGTTGAAATTATGAGAGATTGTATAGCCCCCTCAATTTCGAAATATAGGTCAAATTCTTTAAAAGATAAAATGTGGATACAATTTATCACCCACAAAGTTTTACTACTATCTCACTTTTTGGCGTTTAGTGCCCAACTCCTCCAAACTTCCTCCCACAAAATGGCTAGGCTCAGCTTCCCATTGAGAGTTTTATCCGACCCGACCCATTTTACCCGACCTGTTTGAATTGTTTTTTTTTTTTGGGGTTTGTCTCACCCGCCCTGTAGGTTGGGCGGACGGGCATGGGTACTCTCGTCGACCCGACCTGCCCCATTCTCGACCCGTTATTACTTAAATTACATGTAATCTTAGTCAAATTACTTACGATTTTCCTTTTATTACATCATATTAGCCATAATAAAGTTGTAAATTAGTGAAAACCTCAATTTCTCCAATAATTTATCTACACTTATCATTATATGGTTTGTTTTCTTGGTCTTATAATGAAAAAAAAAATTCTAATGTTTTCCATATAAATTGCATACACATTGGGTCAAACTGCCTCGACCCGTGACCCATGATAAATTACCCGACCTAGACCCGACCTACCGTAGGGGTGGTATGGGTATCGAGATATCCGTCCCGGACCTGCCCATTGCCATTCCTCGTGGAAACTCCTCTCCAACCCAGGGAGATGTTCTTTGTATTTGCTTCATCGACCTACCAGGCTACCGTGTTTTTTCCTCCCCTGACCACTCTACTGTGCTTCTCCACCTTGCCTCCTCTTGGCTCATGCAAGTTACAACCCATGCTGCCTCTGTACAGCTGCTTGGATAAGCCACCAACCTTGTATTGTACTGACTAATCAATAATCTACTATGCACTAGGACAAGCCAACCTTTCGACCTCATTCTCGCATCCTATTGGAATTGGGATTCTCTCTATTTGGGAAAATTCACCCAAAGCTCTTCCACTAGATCTCTTTTGCTTTCCTCTCTTCCACCTCAATAACCCCCTTCTTCTCTCTACAACGCAAACCCTAAAGTTTTCTCCTACTGTCGGTCACCATGGAACTCAAACGCGGAGGAATACAAGGTCGATTTGGAACAGGACGAGCACAGTGAGAAAAAAGGCGACGAGAAGGAAGCAAACCGGAGCTGTGAGTTAGCGTAAGGTGATTGAGTTGCAGAGTTTGAGACTGAGGGTAATGGATGGGGATATAGAAGCATGGGCGGCTACAACTGCAAGGGCGGGTAAAATTTTTGGTGGAGCTGGCTGCGAGAAGGTTTAGCCATAGCTGGTTGAAGCATACCCACTCTTTATGTTTTAAAGAAAGTTGCCATCTGATATTAGAACTCGTCTGTTGTACTTTTTTTCTATAAAAAAACCGGCACATGATAAATGCATGATTTGCTTGTGATGTCAATGACAACCTCATAAGTTAGAACCATATATAGTTATGCTACAAAAGATACACTAACTGTAATTTGGCCAATCAAATTACATACAAGTTTCACGATTGCCACCCGAATCACTTTTCTTTATGATTCGCCACTAACTTTACGTATCATTTCATCGTTGGTCACTGACCGTCTGTCTCCGTCAGACTCCGTTAATTTTTTTGATGATGTGGCAACCAGAACTGATGACTAGACCATTAACTTTATGACATGGAAATTTAAAAAAAAATAAAAAAGCGCACCCTCTCTGTTCTTCTTCTTCCTCGGCTTTTTAGCCATGGCCTGTTTCAAATTGGAGAAACTGAATCTCGTTCCAAGTCTCATCTCCAATCTCCCAACTCCACTTCTTCTTCTTCCACATACAGACCCCCGCCTCTATCTCCCCATTACACCAACTCTCTTCACCGCATCGCATAATATCTCCATCTATTGCTCAAAAAATCCAGCTCCGCCATGGCCACCCCAATCTTCGAACACCCCAGCCTCCCCAGATCCGGGTCGGCATGTCGGGTTCACTAACAGGTTATTAGGGTTGGTTGTCGTCGGAGAAGCCACCTTCTAGAACTCAAAAGCACCTTCCCTGAACCTCGATTCCTTCTCCTCGTTCCCTATAAGATATTTCCCCCAAAAGTACAGATGGATTAAAACCACTCCAGTGAATCGAATCCCTCCGAATGCTTCCTTCTCGAAAACCCTTTCCCCATCACGTACGAGGATTCATGGGTCGCGCTCAAATGGCTCGCTTCCCAATCCTCTGGCGACGGATCTGAGGATTGACTCAACAAGCACGCCAATTTCGACTCGGTGTTCGTCGCATTGGACATCAACGACACGAATATAGCAGATCAGATGGTGATTAGGTTCGGCAAGGAAGCATTCGGAGGGATTCGATTCACTGGGGTGGTTTTAATCCATCTGTACTTTTGGGGGAAATATCTTATAGGGAACGAGGAGAAGGAATCAGAGTTCAGGGAAGGTGCTTTTGAGTTCTAGAAGGTGGCTTGTCCGACGACAACCAACCCTAATGACCTGTTAGTGAACCCGGCATGCAGACCCGAATCTGGGGAGGCTGGGGTGGCCATGGCGGAGCTGGATTTTTAGAGCAATAGATGGAGATATTATGCGATACGGTGAAGAAGAGTTGGTGGATGAGTGTTGTTATACTAACAACAGGATTCATTAAGGGTATAAGGGTAAAATACCATTAATTATTAGATAATAATATATTAAATTAACAGAAAGATAATTATGGACAAGAAGGAGCATTCGAACCCGCCTTCGCTGCTGAGTCGCCATCCTCGCGCATCTCCGCCATCGCACTCTTATCTTCTGGACCGCCATCATCACTCCGCCGCTTCCAGCCTTCGTCAGTCGCCGCTCCCGTCGGAAATCTTCGTCAGTCAGCCTTCGTCAGTCGACCGCCATCATTACCCTGTTGGAATCACAGACGCTGTCGACAGCCTTGTAAGGGTAATCTTCTTCGGTGTCGATCCCGCCGTTGTTGATGATGAACTGGAAGCCGTAGTCCATGAGACCACCATTGCAGCCCTGGTTATAGGAAGTATCGCAATCAACAAGCTCCTGTTCTGACAGGGTGATCAGCTCGCCAGTGACAATCTGGTTGATCCCTTCTACAGCTCCAACAGTCGAGAATGCCCAGCAACTACCTGTGATTTTGCATCATATAGAAACAGATTTAAGGTTCCATAGCTCAAGGTCTATTCACTTTCCATTAAAACCTAATCACTGACACCTACTGTCTCCGGAGCCCTAGACGCATCCTCTGGAACTCTTGCTGGAGCAGCACCATGGGGAGTTTGCAAGAAGCTTGCATAAAAAATTACATCATAATCTTGGCAAAATTAGTTCATTCAGTTTATCTTATTAGATTTGTGTGAATTCACACTGCCAGCTTGCCCTGCAAAGGAGAAAACGAGCCAAGCTTCCATTTGATGACATATGCAACAGGGCCACAGTTTTGGCACTCAAAATGAAGAGCTTATGTGCAACACCTTCAACCAAAATACCCTGTTGGTTGCAGCGAAAGGGAATGCAGTAAACAGAGCACTTACCTTGTATGTCCAGGATACCCGAACAGGGTCTGATGGGACCATGGAAATGTGGGAGCAGGGAACCGAAAAGGTGAATCTGGGCAAGGAAACTTAGCAAGTCTAAATGAACCACCCGTTCCTCCTGTAAACTGCAGAGGCTGTTGTGGCGGCTGGACCATCTGGTTGTTGAACCCCAATGACAGCGCTCTTTGAGATGCGTCCGATGATTCTACCACTACACAACGCTTTTTACGAGCCCTACTCTCATCCAGGGGTTGAGGTGGAAAAGCAGCAGCAGAGATTGTGATTGGATTGGCATCAGCTTCGGAGGATGCATGAGTGTCATGCTGTTGTTTAGCTTTGGAGGATGCAGGAGCGTCTTGCTGTTGCCGTAGACCAGGTTGTTGGGTCTCAGATAATTTGGGAGTAGGAGGAGGTCCAGCTAAGGCTTCCTGCACTTGAACCTACATTTGGGGTTGTGTTTGTGGTCCAGCTAAGGCTTCCTGCACTAACCACTTTAAATTCTTGTTTGCTATTTGTTTGATTGCTGTCACTGATATTTTTGAATGTCGACATTGAAAGTGTTGGCATATTTTTACAAGTTGAGTAGTTTCAAGTTCACTTGAAAGCACATCAAAAGTCTTGGAATGCACATCATAAATCTTATAAAACATACTACAAATATCACAAAAGCATACCACAATTATTTAGAAAGCATACCAGAAACCTCTCAATACAGATTATAAATTGCCTAAAACATACTAGAAATACCACAAAGCAAACCACAACTATTTCTAAAACACACCAAAAACCTCCTAATGCAAACCACAAATACGATAAAACAAACCAGAAACTTCTTAATGCAAACCAGAAACCTCCTAATGCATACCACAAATCTCCTAAAACAAACCAGAAACCTCGCAAAGCAAACCACAAAATTTTCGAAAGCACACCAGAAACTTCTTAATGCAAACCAGAAACGTCATAATGCAGACCAAAAATATATTAAAACAAACCAGAAACCTCACAAAGCAAACCACAGAATTTTCAAAAACACACCAAAAACCTCATAATGCAAACCACAAACACGTTAAAACAAACTACAAAAACAAACCAGAAACCTCCTAATGCATACCACAAATCTCCTAAAACAAACCAGAAACCCCTCAATGCAAACCACAAATTTTTTGAAAACAAACCAGAAACTTCTCAATGCAAACCACAAACACGATAAAATAAACCAGAAACTTCTTAATGCAAACCACAAACACGATAAAACAAACCACAAAAGGCATACAAAAATATGAGAAACCAAACCATAAATCTCACAATCAGACTATAACACCCGGTGGTCGTTGGCCGTTGACCGGTCAACGAAGACCATTGACCGGTCAACTAAGTTCGTTGACCGAACTCCGGTGACCGTCAATGACCGGATTCCGGCGCCGATAAGCATATTCCGGCCACGATGACTAGATTCCGATGCCGGTAAGCATATTCCGACGCCGGTAAGCATATTCCGGCGACGGTGAGCATATTCTGATGACAAAATAGCATATTCTGGCAACAAAAAAGCATATTCCGGTGACCGGCGACCAGATTCCGGCGACCGGTGGCCGAATTCCGGCGGCCAAAAATTTGGGCAGAAAATAAAAAATATTTTTTATTTTTTTATTTTTTATTATTTAAACAGATTTTTCATAATGACAATTATACCCCTGCTTTGATTTTACACTAGGTCAACTCATCTAATAAAAAGTCATCATAATCCTAGCTTCCTATTGGTTGGAGGCTAGTGTTGTTACAATAACAACACAAAGGGTGTTGTTATAGTATCTAGTCCCGTCTGTAGGTGGAAGAAGAAGAAGTGGAGTTGGGAGATTGGAGATGAGACTTGGAACGAGATTCAGTTTCTCCAATTTGAAACAGGCCATGGCTAAGAATTCGAGGAAGAAGAAGAACAGAGAGGGTGCTCTTTTTTATTTTATTTTTTAAATTTCCATGTCATAAAGTTAATGGTCTAGTCATCAGTTCTGGTTGCCACATCATCAAAAAATTAACGGAGTCTGACGGAGACTGACGGTTAGTGACTCACGATGAAATGATACGTAAAGTTAGTGGCGAATTAGAAAGAAAAGTGATTCGGGTGGCAATCGTGAAATTTTTATGTAATTTGAGTGACCAAATTTGTAATTTAGCCTACACTAATTTAATGTTGACATTTATTGTAGATAAACATTGAATGTCTGGATGGTACGTAACACAAATTAGTCAGCATGCGAACATACTTCTAATCAGTGTCGGAGATTGTTGACTCCTGATTCAAGTCTCTTCTGTATGTGAGGAATTGTCATTTTTTTTCTTATCATGTGGTATCCATCATATCCTCAGAGCTCTATTTGGAGTTACTAATAGTTACTATTATAGTTTATATGCTATCGTGTTTGTTATGATGTTGTAATGTATGTAGTCATCTGAAAACAAAACTTGTCGAATAGAATGTTTCCTCTCTTTTGAAACTAAAATAGTGTCGAATAGATCATGACATGCTTATGTTATCAATAACGATAGGATAAATTTGAATCATACATAGGTATGCTTAAAAGAGTCCTTGTAGATAAAGATTGAATGACCTGCTGCTTTTTAGCACAAGCTGATAGTTCATTTTTGGTGTAATTGTGCAGACTAGCTCCTACCTTGGTCTGAAGCTCTGGTTAAAGTCAATTTTGGCATTAATGGAAGGATAAAATGATGAAATTACTACTGGTTATTTCACTTTGTTTCATTCATCTCAGACCCAGAGCAATTGAAGTTACTCTGTCAAAGTGACAGTAAGTAAAGCTTAAAATGGGATGGTGGTAAAAAGTGGGAGTCAAAGTTTAACTTCCCAAAGTGGCTAGATACAAGTTAAGACATATAATGTTAAGGAAGGGCAAAAGTAAGGAGCTTTGCCCCATCTTCTCCAGAGTATTAAAGACAAAAGATATCACCAATGGAGTTGTTCTTGAACATGAAAGGACGTTGTTTTGGTGTTTAGGCTTGTTAGATCCTCTGTTTTATTGCTCAATTAATGTAACACAAAACAACACTAACATGGTACAACACTACCTGGTAAATTTCACATAGAACAACGCTAACATGGTACATCACTAGTAGAATACACAAATAAAAGCATCCACTCATGGATATCTTGTAACATCAGAGTACAATCTATAGCATCCCATTTTAAACGACGCGCATTCATTCAGTCCGTGAATTCTGCTAGCGACGACGAGGATGTGTCGTTAGCTGGCGTAGTATTGCAAGTCGATCTTCTCCGGTGGCAGACGATGGGCTGATGCGACCGGCGGAAAACATGCCACCTCACCGCGGGAAGTTGATCAAACATAGAGGGAGAGTGCAGCAAATGATCATTAGTCACATGTATGTGATTCCAGTCTCCTTGGAAAATTTTGACCGTTTGAAGAATGCCAGCTGAGTTATCACCGCTCCCACGTTCCCTCCTCCTCCCGTCATGCCCGAGATTAACCCTAAAGACCTACATACATATGTGTAGTTAGTAAAATACGACACTAACATATGTTACCGTATTAATATGTAACGATATATATTCTACCTTATGGAGACAAAGGGCACGACTCCAAAGGTTAGGCTATAAGCAGCTTGGCCGAAGAACGAGAAAAGGATCATTACAACAATGGAGCCTCCCAAGTCCCAATGAATTGACCCGACCCAAAATTATGCACAGAATGACGCCTAAAGTCTGAACGAGCCATAGAGTCCTTAGCCTTCCCCTCATCCCAAACCTCTTCGCCACCTCATCGGACAGTCGCCCCCCCTGGCCGGGAAATTAAATTCGCCAATCCAAAGCTTGCCGCAATCATTCCGGCGGTCTGGAGGTCCAAATTGAATCGGTCATAGAAATACTCGGCAATCACATTATCCACCGTCAATTTCACCCCAAAGCAGTACCCATAAGTCAGAGCCAGAATCCATCCCCTGTAATTCCTAACTCCATGGAACAGGATTTGGGGAATTTGGTTCCCTGAATTCTCCAGCCGCCTGAAATTCCCATTGGGCAAGTCCTGGTCGAAGATCAAGATGGCGAAGGTCGTCATCATCTGGAAGAGACCATGGACGTAGAAAGAAGGCCCGGCCCATAGCCTGTGCTGGCCGGCCCGCCAGCACAGGGCTTCAACATTTTAGGGGCCTCCAAATAATATATTATGTTATAGGCCCACAAACTCTACAAAATTAGAAAGACGTTTATGTAACATGGATATAAATTTAGTAGGCCTCATTTAGAGCATTTTTCTTTACCTAAACTTTGGGGTGCCTTCACCACTTGGCCCATTTGAAGATTCCTGGACATAGCTTCTTTTGTTGGGATTCTGGTGCCCCAAATTGGTTATATACTCGTGACTCCCATATAGGCTTTTTGGGCCCAAATTTTTTGATAATAACCTGTATTCATTTCATTCAAGAATCAAGTTTGCCCAAACCGGGCATGGCCCAAATCGGCCTGTAACACACAGAGAATAGATAAGGGGGGATCATCCACCCACATAAATTGTCTATCCCAACAGTAACTGGAATGAGCCAACCAATGAGCTGAGGAATTGTTCTTCCTTTGAGTATAGCTCCACACCGTCGAACCACCCGAGAAACTGCCATTCACCTTCGCCAACCTTCTGATCTCATCACACCAAGTGCCCAGTTCGGTAGGGGCATTCTCCTCCTTTCCAAGCTTGTTGATGAGCTTCTGACAACCAGTTTCCACAATCAACGGGCTTAAACCACGTCGATTTGCTTCACGGATCCCCATCATTATCGCCTTGGCCTCCGCTTCAATGGGTCTGCAGACCCCCTTATCCTTCTTCGTAGTAGCGCCACAAAAGCTTCCTGTTGAGTCTCTGATCACACACCCAAAACCCACCCCCATCTGCCTGAGCACTCCGGCATCACAATTCAACTTGAAAACTCCATCAGGGGGAGGGTTCCATCCTTCAGATCTGTCATTTTGAAACGCAACTCAATTGTGGGAAGTAGGGGGATGAGCTTCGAGGAAAGATTGCAACCAGCCCATAGCTTTGGGGATAACCAGGTCTTCATCAATCTTGGGGTTGTTGAAAAGGTGGTTACACCTCTCCTTCCAGAGGTACCATAAGGCCACACTAAACTTCTGGATTTGCTCAGTCGAATAATTTTTCCATATTTCCATTAGCCAGTCAAAACACGATTTACCTTCTCCAATCTCAAACATTTGTTTACCTTCCCATGCCTGCCACCGGCGTCGGATCCAACTACACTCTCCGAGAGCATGGAGCTGGGATTCTGGGAGCCCGCAGAAAGGGCACTCAGTGCTAGCTTCGTTGATCCATTCCACTAAATAGCAGCCAACCGGTAAGATTCCTCTTCCTACTTTCCATAGAAAAATTCAAACTTTAGGAAGTATGTGAGTTTTCCAGAGAGCCTTCCAGAACTCCGATTCATCCTTAGAGAGAATTAAAGAATAAGTAGAATTGTTGCTCTGGTTCTCTCGAATCCTGCAATAGGCAGATTTGACGGAGTAGTTACCATCATCAGAGTCAGTCCACACCCTCTCATCCCTGCTCAGGGGGGTTCGCAAGGGTATTTTCGAAATAATCTCATGGTCCAGCTGAGAAAACTTCTCCTTTAGCTTACTTTCATCCCAATTTCCATTGTCTTTATCAATCAGGGATGAAACCAGCTCCTCTGAATCCATCCCATTGGGTTGGGGGTCAGCAAAGAAATAACACTTACCTGGAATCGAGGCATCTTTCCAAATCCGAATCGAGTTCCCATTACCCACACGCCACCTGAAACCCCCCATAATTTTCTCCTTAGCAGCCATTATGCTTCTCCAGATGAAACTAGGTTTATAGCCAGTCTTAGCGTTGAGAACATCAGAATTTGGAAAGTACCTGTCTTTTAGGGTTCTTTCCATCATGGAGTTGGGTTGAGAGAGGATTTTCCAAACTTGTTTTCCAAGCATAGCAAGGTTGAAAGTGCGCAGATCCCTAAAACCCATCCCACCATATTCCTTATCGTCACACATGTCCTCCCATTTCAACCAATGGAGCTTTGTCTCCTTCCCCTTCTATCCCCACTAGAAGCTAGAAATCATTCTCTGGATTTCCATCAGTGTTCCTTCTAGAATCAGAAACACAGCCATAGGATAGAGAAATTGAGCTTGGGCCACCGCCTTTATCATTATCTCCTTCCTGGCTTGGGACAACGTCCTACTTTTCCAGTCTTTTAGCTTCTTACAGACTCTCTCCTTAATCTCTTCAAACATCACCTTCTTAGACCTCCCCACAACAGTAGGTAGCCCTAGGTATTTAGGATGTTTAGCCACCTCCTTGATTCTCAGTGTTCCGCAAATCTCGAGTTTCCTGCTAATCTTCACGTTGCTACTGAAAGAGATATCTGATTTGTTAAAATTAATGAGCTGCCCTGATACCTTTTCATAGAAACTCAGAATCTCTTTTAGTTTATAACATTCACTTAACACTGCTCTTCCAAACACCACGCTATTATCAGGGAACAATAGATGGAAGATAGTAGGGGCCTTCTTTCTAATCTGACTACCAGGTAGCTTACCTTCCTTCTCGGCTCTTCTAATCAGAGTAGAAAGACCCTCCGCGCACAAAATAAAAAGGTATGGTGAAAGGGGGCCACCTTGGCGCGGTCCTCTAGAGGGAACAAAGCAATCAGTTTTATGCCCGTTTACTAGCACCGAGTAGGAAACGGTTGACACACAGTTCATGATAAGATTAACCCACCTTTCATCAAACCCGAGCTTCCTCATCACTTTCTCCAGGAAGTTCCATTCCACACGGTCATAGGCCTTAGCCATATCTAACATACCATCTTAAGCTTTTTTCCTGTTCTTCATAAACTGAAAGCATTCGAAAGCAATAATAACATTATCAGTAATACCTCTCCCTGGCACAAACGCGCTTTGTTCCTCTGAAATAATATCATCGAGAGTAACCTTTAATCTATTAGCCAGAACCTTTGAGATGATCTTGTAGATAACACGACACAGGCTAATAGGTCTGAAATCCTTGGCCATCGAGGGAGTTTTCACCTTTGGAATGAGGGAAATAAGGGTGTGATTAAACTCAGGGGGCATATTACCAGTATTTAGGAAGTTTAAAACTGTTTTGGTTACCTTAGCACCAATCGCACTCCAGTTTTTCTGATAGAAACCAGCTGAGAAGCCATCCGACCCCGGAGTCTTGTTTTGTGCCATCTGATCAAGAGCCAATTTAATTTCTTCAGCTTTGAAAGGCCTCATCAATTGCTCATTCATGCCTGTGGTAATCTTCCTGTACAAAGTTTGGATAACATCATCCGAGTCAGGGACTTGTCCCTTCTTAAAAAGAGTCTGGCAATAGTCAGAAATACAACTCATAACCTCCCTTTGTCCCTTGTAAAGCCGCCCTTGATCATCTTGTAGCATCCTAATGGTGTTTCTTTTCCTTCTGGCAGAAGCTTTTGTATGAAAGAATTTGGAATTTTTGTTCCCTCCCTTTAGCCAATCCATTCTCGACCTTTGCAACCAAAACAACTCTTCTTGAGAAATCAACTCTACTCTCTCTGCTTCAAGCGCTTTCCTTTTCTCGTGAACAACTTTATTCTTTGGTTTATATTTAAAAGAATTGAGCAGCCCTTCAACTCTCTCAATCTTTCTCCTTATATCTCCAAATTTATGTTTACTCCACTTCAACAAATCAGCTTTACAACAATCTAAAATGTCAGTGAGCCCAGTCCTAGTATTAGCTTCACATATCTTCTTCACAATCTCAGAACTCTCTGGATCTTTCAACCACAAGGGTTCCACTTTGAAGTACCAACCCCATTTGATCTCTTCCTCCTCCTTTCCAGCAGTAGACAAAAGGATAGGGCAGTGATCCGACCCACACCAATCAAGATGGAAAACTCTATGGTTTGGATAATGCAACTTCCAGTCCCAGTTTGTCACACACCTATCCAACCTTTCCTCAATATATCTATCATTTTCCCTGTTATTTTCCCATGTGAAAGGATAACCTTCAAAGCCACGATCGAGAAGACCACAAAATTCCAGGGCTTCCTTAAATTCCGTAGCATGAGTCTCATCAATAGGGTTTCCACCTCTCTTTTCTTCCCCAGACAGGATTTGATTAAAATCCCCCATGCAGACCCAAGGGAGGTTACTACCATTTCTCATGCTTCTAAGAAGGTCCCATGAATTGAACCTCTCATCTCTGGCAGCCCAACCATAGAACCCCGAAAATCTCCAACGCTGCTCCTCGTTGCTAGACGAAATGACAACATCGATGTGATGGAGAGATGAGTCCAGTTTTGTAACCAGGACATCCTCCGACCAAAACAAACATAAGCCACCTGCCTTCCAACCCTTTTCATTACTAGCCGCCACACCCAGGCCTCCAGAGTAACCAAGTTCTTTTTGAACTTCCTTCCAGCCCTTTTCATCCTTTTTTGTTTCCATAAGAAAAATAATCTGGGGTTTTTTCCCCCTAGCCAGCCTTTTAAGTTAAGCAACTGCTGAGGACAAATTAAGTTTGAGTTCAGGAATTCAGGGGATTATAAAAAAAAATTGGGGGCCTTAAATCTGCTATAATGGATCATTTTCCTTCTTTTAAGTTTGCATTTTGTTTGGGAGTGGCCTCTAGAGCTATACTATTAAGATTCTCTTTTGACCTTTAAATGGGCTTGACCTTTCTTTTATTTGTTAACTTTTTTCTTTATTAATAAATGATCTATCATCATGAAAAACATTTCTTATTTTCTTATAAAAATGAATTATTTTAATGGATCTTTTCCTCAAAAGCGTGAGATTAGAAGAAAGATAGATGATATTATTTAAAATAATACGAGGTGTTTGTTACTTTTTAAATAACGATAAATGATATTATTCTTTTGTAATAAATTTTCTGAATTTAAGTATTTTTTACTGTTATTTAATAAATTTTATTTCTAATAAATCTTCAGAAAAAATATTTACTATAGAGCCACATTTTAAATTTTCGAACGGCCTCCAAATATCATGGACCAGCCCTGGTAGAAAGCAATCCTCCAGGCGGTGAAT